GTGGTTTGAATATATCTATTTTAGTGAGAAAATGTCATTTGAGTGCAATCAATCTAACGGAATAATTTTCATTAGGTTTCAGATTCGGATTCTAAAAGCACTAGTATGAATAGTAATCACTGAGGAAGAGGTACTATCCAATGTGACTAAGTAGGCTCGGTATTATTATGACTTCGAGAAAAGAATCCCAATCATGATAAGTTTCATATGTCTTTAGTTGTCACAACAAAACAAGTACGAGCTCACTGATGATTCATTTTCGAGTTTGTGTTTCAGAAATTCTTTTAGATATTCGGTTCTGAACATCAATTCATTATCATACAAATGACTACTAAAAAATAGAAAAAGAATATTTACAATTATTGAACATTTCAGTACAAGAGCGAAAGTATTTGCTTTTGCATTTGAATGTCGCTTTCCGTTTCTCAAGACTTCGCTAATGTTAAATGATGATTAATTTTATTATTAGAATTGTCGTATTTTATTATATTTCATGATTCTTTTATTACACATATTTTTTTCTGATAACTCTCTCTCTAATATTTCTGAATATTCAAAATTAACTACCGGATATGGATGACTTAACAAATGACCTGTGGCATTTAATTTTTAAGAGTGTTTGAAACCGCCATGATTTTGTTTCTTACGTTATTTAATATTTAATTCTATTTGTTCGATATGAATTGTTGTCCATTTCGAACGAGACACTTTATGAACCATGCTAATATGCACATGACACCATGTCATGTAGATAGCTTGTTAAACAGCTTTACGTTGTGAAAGCATTATTAAAGCCAAAAAAAGACTTTTGTTGTAAGAGACATTTTTCTTGAAATTCCTTTAATTTTTTCTGTCACAACGCTTGTTTCTCTATCATAATATGTATGAGACACGAACTATATTTTCTTCAATGTTTAGAGCGAAACTAGTCCAGAGCTGGGCAAAATACTCGAAGTACTCGTACTCGAGGATTGAGTACTCGAAATTCTAAGTATGCATGATATCAAAATAATGCTATATAAAATTTTAGTATATTTTTTTTCAATGAGGTAATGAACAACTGATTTCTTCATTTTCTTTTACACATACATATACACATATTTAGATAAATACATAGACGCCATATCATTGTATAACAACCGACGTACACTTTTTTTCTTGTTCTCCTCCACTAGTAACATATTATGTAAATGGTAACCGATTGGTGTCTGTATATTATCTAGTTCTTCTTTCGTTCGTATACATGATTCATGGTTACTGAATAAAAGAAATTCGTTGTTGGTGTAATATTACGGTTCAATTATTTGATCTACAATTGTGAACATTTAATTAATAGTTTATAATATTATTATGGATACAAATTCAATTATTACAAATGATGAATCAGAATCTACCATCGTGTTAAACGATGATGTAAATGGACCATCGATTATTAAAGAATTTTTTTCAAAATTAAGTATTAATATTGAAAAAAATCGATGGACATGCAGTTGCAATATTTGTTCATCATCAATTACAGATACATACAAGACAACATCTAACTTTTTCAAACACATAAAAACTAAGCACCGATTATTATTTGATGAATGGAAAAGTAAACAAAACCAGTTAGTGAAAGAAAAAAATCAACCGAAGATTACAAATATTTTTATTCCAGAAAATGAAAAACGTAAGTATACAAGTATCTCAAATCACATCTTAAATGAATTAGAAAGAAACATTAATACTAGACTAAAATTGATGCGGTGAATACTGTTTCGTTTATGGAAGGAAATATGCTATTATGACTTCATTTTTTATTTTCTGTAAAGATACAACGAATAAAAAACTTGTCTGATTTTAGATTCCGTCGACAATAAACGTCAGCAGCTTCTCAACAACAGCATCATTAAAAATCTTATTATTAATATGTCTCTTCCATTTTCAATAGTCGATAATGAAGCATTTAAAAAATTTATGTTAGATGTTGATCCAAAATACAAGATGATCAATCGACGTGATATTACACGTTCTTTTCTTCCTGTCATGTATAAAAAATGTGTCAAGAAGCTACAGGACATTTGTAATCGATCAAAATATGTTAGTCTTACTCTTGACGTATGGAGTGATCGTCGAATGCGTAGTTATTTTGGTATAACTCTTCATACAATTGTTGATGATCAATATAAAACTTATCTTCTATCGTTCGAACGTCTAACAGGTAAACATTCTGGTGATAAGCTTGCTGCTGAATTTGATCGGGTTATACAATTGTATAATTTAAAAGATAAACTCGTTCGAATAGTTACTGATAATGCAAGTAACAATCAAGCTGCTTTTGATGATCTCGTATTACCCGGTTTTGATGAATATTTTAATGATATTGATGATGATCAATCTGAACTTGAAACAAGTGATAAAGATACTGATGATAATGAGTGCAAGAATAATCGATTACAAACAGTAGAAGTGAATGATGATATATATGGAGCAACACTTAATGCACCATCAGAACAAGAATTTTTAAGATTACCATGTTTTGCTCATTCTCTTCAGCTGGTGGTTCATGATGGTATAAAGGCTGCTGGTGGTGCATTATCATCTCTTAAAAAGGTAGCTGATCTTGCTAAGCTTGCACACACAAGTACATCATTTGCTGAACGATTAGAAGAACGTCATTATAGTATTTCTCGAGCTAATCGTATCCGATGAAACTCACAATTTCAAACTGTAAAGAGTGTTATTAGTATTCCATCTCCTATACTCAATTCCATTTTAACTGATTTAAAAAAAAATAATCTTATTCTAAACACTAAAGACAGAAAAACATTAGAAGATTTCGTTTGTTTATTTGAACTGTTTAATGAAGCTACTATTTTGACACAAGGTGAATGTTATGCTACTGTTAGTCTTGTTGCTCCTACAATTCTTGGTATTCTTTTTGATCTTGAACATGAACGTGCTTCTTCAAATTTATCTCTTGTATCTTTATGTGAAGCACTTCTTTATTCTATCAAAGCTCGTTTTAGTGGTCTTCTTGGTTATTTCGACATTGATGTGCCATTTGCCTCTTATTCTATGTCTGAACGTTTTTCTGATCCTATTTTTCTGATTGCACCTCTACTCGATGCACGTTTTAAATTGTTATGGCTTGATAATCTTCCAGTTGTGGTAAAGTTGCGTGTTATAGAAAAAATCCATACTTCTTTTGTTCGTTTTTTCTCAAAATTGACTTTTTCTGTGTTACAGGAAGAGGAAGCTGATGAGTCGAACGTACCTGAACAAGATGCCAGCGAGAAGCTGACTAAACATTCCGATGCAATACCAAAAAGAAAATGCCTTTTTCCTTATTTGAATGATATAAAAAAGACTTCTTTTGATGAGAAACAAAAAATTTTGGTAGAGCTTGATGCTTTTCTATCGGAAAAAAGTGATGAAGGTAATTTACTTTTCCTCAAGAAAAATCTTTATCCTTCTTTATATGAACTTGGTCTGAAATACTTGTCAGTGCCGGCTACATCAGCTTCTATTGAAAGAGTATTTTCTCAAAGTGGTTTTATAATGCGTCAACATCGTGCATCGTTAACTTCAAAAAGTGTATGCTTGCTTACTTTTCTTAAGTGTAATAAAGTTTTGTTGTAATTTGATTAAATGTAATAAAATTTTGTTGTAATTTGACTTTGTGAAACTTACTAATAAAAAATATTGATTTAAAACATTTTGATTCATGCATTAGACGAATTCTCGATCTAAAAATTGATATGTCATATCTAACACTACTTATTAAGTTTTCTGTATCGAGATCTTGGGAAACAGACTATCACGTACTCGTACTCGTACTCGTACTCGAGGATTCAGTACTCGTACTCGTACTGGTACTCGAGAGTCGGTACTCGTATTCGTACTCGTACTCGAAAAAGTCCGTACTTGCCCAGCTCTGAACTAGTCTTAAAAATTAGACTGTAGGTGTGGATGTGGGTGTGGGTGTGGGTGTGGGTGTGGGTGGGTGTGGGTGGGGGTGTGGCGGAGGGTGGGGGGGTGTCGTGGGTGAGGCAGGTCGAGT